ATATATATATATATATGCGCGCGCGCGCATTTGAAACACATTCGACCATTTAATGGCAGCCACATCATATATAAGTTTTTGTGGCTCAACATGATTTTGAAGTTTGAACATGGAATGTAACTGAAAAGAGAAATTTGAGTACTAAAAACTGTCACAAACATGTTGTCAGACAGTAGGATATGTATCTGGTAATGCTTGAACTCAGCCTCACAATTTTTGCCTCATCTCAGTTTCTTACTTCAGAAATGGGACTTATCTTGGGACAGTTTTTCTATATATTAATGAGATTATAAGAAACTAACAGATTTTTTAGCTATAGGAGAGTGATATTATTTTCTCACCACAAATTTTGGGACACATAAATCATAATATTAGGGATTCATATAGTTTTATGAGGCAGTTTTTGACAAGTTAAAAAACAGTATTGAATATAATCATTAGTGGTGATTAGTTTTGTTGCAAGAAGAGAATCGCTATGCATCACATTACCAGCATTAAATTTGGGACATATATATAAATTTTATACGGCGTGAGGCTTATTTCTCCCACTTTACTAATAAAAATAAAATCATCAAAATTCAAATCCTGATACAGACAAGCACACACTCACGCACCAAACTACTTGAGCCTGCCTCAAGTGACAAATTAGTATACATGAGTTTTTGATTAGTTGAAAAAACCAATAGTAACCATGATCATTAGTGATAATATTTTATTTTAGCATCTTTTAGAAGATAATCAAGTCACCTACCATTCTCAAATCTGGCTATTACATTGGGAAGGCTAGCTAGAAGATATTTAATCATATGTTAAACAAAATTAACTCTACATAGTGTACAACAAATATCACATTAATCTCGCAATAAGACATGAACCCTCATCATCATGATCATGATCATATGAAAGAATTTGGATTTCCCATCAATTTTGAAAATGTTTTCAACAGAGACAGAGCGTCGAAATCCTCGATCGGTGATGGCCGGGGGAGGCGGCACACCGAACGACGTCGAGGAAAAGGCTCTCGTCGCAGGGGATGCAGAGTTTGGAGTCAGCAGTGGTGAAGTCAAACTCATCGCGAGCTTGGTCAAGCAATGCCTTGAAGAGAGGGTGATTGAGCAAGGTGATTTTGATGACAAACCTCTTGTAGTCCTTGCCTACATAGACCACCAAGTGACCCTTTGGGACATCCTTTGGGATTTTTGAGGTCTCTTGATCAGCCACAAAAGGCCACAAACTCCAATATTGACAACAATATTCACACCCTGTGCATGGACTCACTTTACTACTCCCCATGTTCTTCCTCCACTTGTTAATGCACACCTTAACTAAATATATATATATATATATATATATATATCACTCACTAGATTTGAAGAGAGACTAGTGTGTGTGAGAGAGAGAGAGAGAGTAGAAAAAGAGAGAAGTGTATATGGGGTGTAGCAATTACAAATGTGAAAGGTGTATATATATGTGCTTTGTATAGACTAGTGTGCAATGGGGTGTTTTGGGGGCATTAAATGGTTGACAAGATAGGTAGCTAAGAGCTGCTAAGAAATGATATTTTTTTATTTAATTTAAAGTGTGTGTATATATGTGAATTATATGATATATGATTATATATATATAGTTGTGCTTTTTTTTTTTTTTAGCTTTTTGTTGTAGTGATGCATCTTGATACGAAAACTGTACGAACATGAATCAAATTTACATATCATTTTAAAAGCATCGTCCTTTTTTTTTCCCTTTTCTTTTCTCTTTCTATCTCTTTCTCAATTTCTGTCAGTGTCAAGAAGAATGGCACTTGATCAGCGATCTTTCGAAGTTCTCGAAATTAAGACCCCACAAAGTTGAGAATGGAAAAACAAAGATAAGATATGAAACAAGGATGGGGATAAGCTTCTCGGGCATAGTGCGATGCCCACTATTTGTAACACCTAGTGATGGATATTGTAAATTATACATCACTTTTTTCTCAGGAAAAAAAAAAAAAAAAAAAGAAAAAGAGATAGAATAGAGTAAGAGAATTCCAACTTAGCCTTTCTTATGGAAAATATTACCGTCTTTGATTTATTAAACTTCCAAGTTGACAAGTAATAAAAAATCTCCTCAGTATTGGGTCTTTTTATTTGAGGGTTTTATATATGAAGGTTTGTTTCTGTTAATCGATAATTAGATTTAACGTGTTTAGAACTATGTTTATATGTATTTTAAGGTGGCACGCTCCCATTGAGGGATAAGGCTTGCCTTTAGGGCCTTTAACAAACAATTTTTTTTTTTTTTTTTTTTTTAGAACTTACCATTGGTAAGATGATCATAATTCTTCAAAGGGGTTAAGAGTCAATTAAGAGAAGTGCGTTATAAGTTGAGGATGATTATTAGCCAACTATAGACACTATATAGTTTAATTCATAACAAAAAGAATGTCACTTTTTTATTTGCATTTTCCAACTAATTATCACATTTGGTCTTGATGTGAAATGAGCTAATAAGCAATCCTCTTTATCACTTTTCCCCTAACCCCAATGATCAAAACAACCATATTACATGCTTTGGTGACGTCCCAAAACATTGCTGAGTTAATTTAATGATCAACCTTTCAGTACACCCACTTGTCCTTGAATTCCAAGTTTAATGATTATAATTATATGTGATGCGATTAATAATTAATGTGTGACATATTCTAGTACTGTCCGTACGTACAAACTAAAGGTGTTGTGGTTTTGGTCAGTCCTTGTTACCGTTTTCCAAGCTCATGATGATAAGTTTTTAGGTGCATTTTTCTGCAGGAAAAAAAAAAAAAAAACAAAAGGGGCAGGAAATGGGGGGCTATGACCTTTGCGCAGCAAAGAGGATGGATCAAAATATCTTGGCTTGCAGAGAACAGAATGGAAGTCACATTTCCAAATCTTTTACAAAATATATGATTTTCTTCTTCTCTCTCTGTCTCTCTTCTCTCTCTTTCTCTCTCACCAACCAGATCAAGGTCTTTAAGGTTCATGCCATAATAATAAACTAATACATACAAATGGTACGACCAATATCTAGTGCATGAATATAACACAACTCCAGTTACATTACATATATATATATATATATGTATGTATGTATAAGTGAGTTTAAAGCGTTTTATTAATAACCCGGAAGCTTCCTAGGAAAACCCAAAACAGGATTTTCATAAATCTTTATGTCTATGTATGTATATATGTATGTATGTGTGTGTGTATGCATGTATATGCATATGCATCTTCCTTTCGAAATGGTTTATAAGCCATGACATTGAGTTTTTGAGAAATGGTTGAGGAACATTGACTAATTGGTATAGTTATGTTTGGAGTTAAGAGAATATGAGTGGCTTTTTTTCCTCCTTTGTGGATTCATATGTGGAAGAAATTTGCCTCAAATGAATGTGCCAAAACATGATTTTCATATACATACATGTACATGTATGAATTCGTGCATATACATATATATATGTATATATATATATATCCTCTTTTAAAAGCAAATCAATAAGCCGTGAAACTGACATGGTGTATATTAGTGCATTATGGCTGAGGCTCATGAATATGCATGAGACTTGTTACATGGAGAAAAAAGAGTTCAAGTGGATTTATAATAACCCAGACGATTTCTGGGAAAATTCAAAACACGATTTTGATTTATCTATATGGCTAAGTATATATGCATGTAAGTGTATATTCATCCTCTTTTTAAAGTGAAATAAATAAGCCATAAAGTTTTGATATGCGGTATTTGGCTGAGGAAAATGCTACAATATTTGGTGTATTGTATATGAGTTCGTGATAATTTAGTATTTTTCTTGTGAACAAAAATCCCGGAAGGGGGCGACATGGCATCAGCAAATATTCGAATATGTGGGAACATGGTCTCTTATACTCTAAATCGATAACTAAATTGGTAGAAATACGTCTTCATATTTAAGATACTTAAAAAGGGTCACATAACACTCAAATCTTTAACCATAAATCCGGTCATAATAATCCTTTATTACTAGGCGACCACACTTTGTGGTGTAAGAATTAGTTAATAAAGAGTTAAATTGGAATGAGTTTTGATGTTTTGAGGCTATGAAGTGGGGTTTTTTTTTTTTTTTTTTAATCCTTATTCATATATGTGGAAGAAAATTGCATGAAATGATCAACAAGACAGCACACTGGTTCATCCCCTGAAGACAAAAGTGTGCTGGTGATGCGTTGGTTGAAAGGAACAGTAACTCAGTTAGGGCCTTATCATTGTAAGAAAACTGCCAACGGTTTTACAAACATTGAGAGAGACTGGGAAAACGGGACTACTCAATATTACTTATTTCGACTGGTCTATTCTTGGTTTCATAGATTCTGCCCTCCTCTCTCAATTTTGTCAAACAAGTTCTCAATCATAGAATTTGGTTGCACAGAAAAAAAAAAAAAAAAAAAAAAAAAAAAAAAAAAAAAAAAAAAATTGGTTGAACATGAAAATTTATTTTAATTTTGTATGAATCAATTGGTTAGACAGGAGTGGCCTATCAGATTTGCTAATGAAATATTCTCTCTTTTAACTAAATTTCATATTGTTTTCTCATAAACCACTCTCTCTTTGTCAACCTTTTTTTCTTTCCTTTCTTTTCTTTTCTTTTTTTTTTTTTTTTTTTTTTTTTTTTTTTTTTTGAAGATGCTATCAGATTGTGTGGGTTTGACTTTCTAGGTAGTGTAAATGGCCTAATGGGGATGTCTCTGTATCATTAAAAAAAATAAATTGGCTAAGATAAGCTTTTGTTGTTTAGTAACTCGTGTCAACCAATGAGAAATGGCATTATAATGGGATATTCCTTGCATGATTATATCAAATCAATTAGATTTTTAAAAAAAAAGTTGTGTTTTTATTGACTCATGCCGATCATATGCCTAGAGACGTGACCTAGTGGCTTTCTCAATGGAATAATATCATCTCTATCTGCATTCTAGAAAAACAAATGGGAAACTTGAAAATAAGTAGACGAGGTGAGAATTTGAGTTGGGGGAGGTAAAAAGAAAATCTAAAATTGCTTAGCATGAGAAACATCTTGTGAATCGTGACTGTCACGTGATAATATGAGACTCACTCGACGTCTCATTTTATTATGAACTATAAATGTGAGTTAGGGGACGTAAAAGAAAATCTAACATTGTTTAGCATGAGAAACATATTGCGAATCGTGACTGTCACGTAATAATGTGAGACTCACTCGACGTCTGATTTTATTATGAACTATAAATGTAAGTTGGGGAAGGTAAAAGAAAATCTAGCATTACTTAGCATGAGAAACATCTTGTGAATCGTGACTATCACGTGATAATGTAAGACTCATTCGGCATCTGAGTTTATTATAAACTAAACTCACTCGGCCTTTTATTTTACCATATGACAATTTTGAACCGGCGGTATTCTATATTACCTATAGTAATACACATCTCCGGCTCAACAAAAACCTCTTGTGGGAAGAGTGGTAGGGGGGGCACGCAGCTGCGGGACACGGTGCACATGAGGCCGGGCCACCGCGGCTCGCACGGGTGGAGGAGAGTGAGTTTAGAGAGGTGAGACAGAGTAAGCAAAGCTAGTTTCATTTCACCGCAAGGCTCCAAATTAAGGCACTCATACGCGTCTCAGCCCACGGGCCAATTGTACACTGCAATGATTTGATTGGACTGACTTAGCCACCCTTTTGCACGTGCATTCATCAGCTGTTCTTAGCTGTCATTAGCCATTTAGCCCTTTCTTCTCCAAACCCACCTCCCATCACTTCCCATTAATTCCTTCCCATGCTTCCTCTTGGGAAGCAGTGGCCTTCATTATTTTGTCTTCCTTTGTTTCTACTAAGTCTTGTTTTTTTTTCCCTCTCATTTTCTTGTGGGATATATATATATATATATATTAACTAAACTGTATACACTTGATAATTGATATGCTATGTAAATGCTTCAATGCGTCTTAGTTCTTCACTGACCTCTGAATTTATTGGGTTTTGTAATGGAAGTGGAATGGATTTGGTCAAATATTGGGCTTGTTTTTGGGAATGAGAAACTGAGTTGGATTCTGAAGACAAAGTGGGCTTATAGTCCAATCCATATTGAATTCTTCTGTTGTTCTACCATAAATGATCCCGTTAGTGGAATCTGGAGAAAGGGTTTGAATATGAGGAATGGAGACAAATGCTGAATTTTTATTAATTAATATATTTTTTAGTTAAATAATTATACTAATTTTTTTTAATTAAATATAAAGGATAAATATTTTAATTTATGTACTTTAAGAGTAAGTTCAGTAATTTTCTCATTCAATATCAAATTAAGCCCATTTTATTATTCAATTCCATTATTGAAGGTCTTGTCAATCTTGTTGCATAATGACTATATAGCTATCTCTTAATATTATTTTTGGTCTGTAACTTTTAAAACGTTCTAAAATTAATTTATGATTTACAAAATTGTCTTAAATCGGTCATTGTATTCATTTGACTGTTAAAATCTAGATGAAAATTGGCACGTGAGTATTATTACGGTTTAATATGAGAGTTAATTTTATAATTTTAAATGTTAAAGCGCCATTATTAAGAAGTAAGTTGTTGATGTGTTTTTAAAAGAAAAGAAAATCCATCAAGATTGGATGGGGTCACTTTGAGAATGATGAAAGTGGGTTGATTTTAGTCTCGTTTACTTCACGGATTCAAGTTTTTAATTCGAATTGAGATGTGACATTTTCTGAGAACTTTTTACTGTAGTAGAAAAAGTTAGATGTGACATTTTCTGAGAGTTTTTTACTGTAAAAACTTAAAACTGAAAATTTGAATCGGTGAAATGAACAAGACCTTTAAAGGTTGAGATATTACTGATACATCTGTCTTTATAGAAAAAGAAAAACCAAACCAGAAAGAAAAGCTAATGTGAAAAGGTGGAAAATAATACACTTTTGAGGTGAATCTACTAATCGAGTACTTGAAAGCAATCAATATTAATGAATTTTTAGTTTGCAAATGAGGATAAGCAATGAGAGCCCAAGGAAATGCTTGAAATATTACACTTGTTCAGTGATCCTGAAACCTGCTTATAGTGTCGTCTATAACGATAAAATGTTAATTTTTTATTTTTAACAATTAAAATTTTATAAGTAATTATACGTTCTTCATACTTTTTTTATTTTAATGTGATTTTTTAACCAGATCTAATGTTAGAAATAAAAACTACCGGCAGGAGAATCTGCTGTAAAATGACCATTTAGAACATGCATAAAAATTAAATGAGACTTTCTACGCTCCTTAAAATCCGTAGAGTGCATGTTTTCTATTGATGAGGATAAACTCCGTCTAATTTCAATTTCTCATTGAGGGGTACAATAATCGAATATTTCTGTAGTATATTTTTTATATTAAATTTTTCAAACGGGCAAAATATACTAAATTGCACATCACAAGGAAGACAAAAATGAAGGCAGTGAAACAAGCCTCTCCATCATGGTGACATTGGTGAGTTTATTAAAGAGGGGCTTATATAGCCCTACAAGTATAATAATAAAAGAATAATCTGAGCAATAATCAAATATTCTAACTTTAAAATAAAGATAAATATCGTTAATATTCTGTCTCAAACTCATGATGCGACTGCAAAAAGCATCAAGAATTTGCCAATTAAAAAACAAAAACAAAACAAAAAATTAAAACACGACTTCATAAACAATTCTGCAACTTTATACGTATGTAGATACCAATTCCGATGTCAATGCCGATGTCAATACCAATACTAAAACCCAACATAGGCCAATTAAAGAAGAGAGAGAATGCAAAGGAGATAGAGAATGCAACCAATCAAAGAGGAGAGGAGAATGCAATGCCAATACCCAATATGAGTCAATCAAAGGAAGAGGAAAAAGAATGCGAATACTACTACCCAATACGATAGTGTCAGAGTCCAAACGGAAGCAAGCAGAAACGAAAACGAAAGCAAGCAGAAGCCAAAAACTGATTGTACGACCACCGATTAAAAACTAATAATTAGACTCAATCAAATTATATGATCTCCAACGTCAGTCTCTATTCAATTTTTGTTTTCTTCTTCTTCTTGCAGTGCAAAAACACAATTCTCCAAATTCCATCCAAATTCGCATAATCAATTGATGAAATCATAGGAAAACATATCAACCGAAAATCATATTCCACCATATTCCACTTTTTTTCCCATCAATTTTTCTAGCTACCTTGTAACTGCTAATGCCTCCAATTACCAACGACGATAAAAATTAATGGCAATTAATCCTAATCCCATAAAAATTATTGCTCTGAGAATTACCCACTGCAAAATAGAAAAAGAAGAGAAAAGAGAGACGTAATGCCAAAGTTCTATTGCAATTACAGAGAAAATCTAATTCATTTAATAAACTAACAAAGAGGGGTTTACATAGCCCTACAAACATAATAATAAAAGATTAATCTACCCTTACTAATAAAGAGTAATAATTAAATAATCAATTACAACCCTAAAATAAAGATAAATATCGTTAATAAAAGATGGTTAACATCTTCCATTAAGGACTTTTGATATTTGGGATAAGCAATTAAGTGCAAGTTAAAAATGGCCTAAATTTGGTTACGTGGGAAAAAAAAGAATAAAGCCTCTACCTAATATTAATATCTCCAAATAGGAAATAGGCAACCTAAGAAGCAATTTCTTTTTAATTCCCTTTCATCTTGTTTTTTATGATTTGGAAAGCAACTCAAACAGCTAAACCATTATCATAGTTGACTTTCTGAACAGTGATCCCACTTGACACTAAAGTGGAACTTCACCATTAAGGCTGCTAATAGGGACAAGAAATTTCTCCATCATAGAAGTTCATTTAAGAAAATGTATACATATATTTATATATATATGTGTGTGTGTGTGTGTGTGTGTGTGTGTATAATGAACTGTATTGAAACCCCACTAATTTTGTCTAGTATTTGGTGGAGAAGCCATTGCTAAAACTTAAAAATACCAACAGAAAATTCATATTTCCTTTCCATTCCCCCTCTTTTATATAGCCAACATATACTTCTTGCAAATTCATCTCTTCCCACAGAAAAATCTCTCTACTACTATCTCTTAAAATTGAAATGAAGATTTTTGTGCTGTTCTTGGTTCTCATGATGGTGGGCAGTTGCTTGGCTGCATCGAGAAGGGCCAAGTTTTTAGGAGGAATGTACGGACAACAGCAACGATTCCGAGTTGAAAAGGGCAAATCCATAGAAAGCAGTAGTATGGAAAAGATGAGCCGTGTTATGTACCCTGAGAGAAACTTTAACAACCATCATAGCATTCCTAGACAGCATTATAACAACGGAAGTGGCACTTCTCAGGGAGATGATCCTGATGATAACGAAAGCGAAACCGCGCAACCATAGCCAAGCCTGCACCAGACACCGTAAGTGAAAAATTGCGACACAGTAGCAATCTGTTTTTCTGCCTGCAACTAGTTTTTTTGTATGAACAGCTAGCGTAAACTGTAAAAAGTCATGCAAGAAGAGCCGCAGAGTTGAAATATGTTAAGTTGGCCATGTATAATGGATGAGAGCAAAAGGTCTGAGAAACATTGTTGGGTCTGTTTTGAGCTTGTTTTGTAAGATGAAGATGTTAAAAATGGTTTGGAACCAGGAATAAAAGATTTCTTAGTATCATATATAAAAGAGCGTTTGGAACGACTAGGTCTTTGGTTTGCTCGCACAAGGTCCGGAGTCGAACCACCTGATGGACGCCTACATGACAAGATTCATAGTTTTTCGCCTTCCAAAGATTGTAGAGTTTGGTGGAAAGATCTATGCCTCGTTCATTTCACCGATTCAAGTTTAGAATTTGAGTTTTATTATAGTAAAAAACTCTCAGAAATAATTATATTTAACTTTTTTATTCCAGTAAAAAACTCACATAAAATCATATCTCAACTCGAATTAAAAACTCAAATAAGCGAACTAAACAGGCCTCTAGTTTCAAATTTAGCCCCACAAAGTGAGTTGGAGTGATTTCTCAATATTAAAACCAAAAAAAAAAAAAAAAAAGGTGAAGAAAAATGAAAAGTAGGGTACCTTATGTTCTGCACTTTGGATATGCACAGCCAAAGTTGAAGGCAAATTGTTAACCTGATTATCATCTTACTGTTGACTCCACAGCATCTCGAACGTCATGGTTGATTTTACCTGAGAAAGTAACCTATATATATATATATATATATATATATGTATGTATGTATATATAAGTCCAGTTTGGTTATAAGACGGTTATTGAGATGGAAGAATTATATTCCCCAAGGATGAAGCAAACGTAAACCCAACATGACCATCTCCATCCAGATTACTTCTTGCTAAATGCTAAGCTAGAGTCATTTCTTATTGAGGTTTCTGTTTTTGTTTGAGAGCTCTAATTGGTTGATTAAGCTCCTGTTGGTTTTTATTTAACCGAGTTCAAAATACTCTTTTTTTTTTTCCCGCTTCCTGGGAGTATGTTGATACATTTAGAGGAAAGCTGATACATTTAACATATCAAGGGGTATCCTATGGTCGTGCGCATTTCTGAACATTAAATTTAATCAAAGCACATCAAAACAAAAACGCTCATCAAAGCACATCAAAACAAAGGTGTAAAAAAAATTGATAAAACCTAATACATCCTGATACAAATTGAAAAGTAATAGATCCCAATGGTTCAAAACAGAACTCTACTGCCAATGTATACCCTACTGTAAAATGATTACTTTCACCTCAAGAAAAGCACCATAATAGAATCCGCATAAACTGCAGGGACTTAAATCTACTGTTTAAATTTGGTGTCTTAATTAATGTCTAACCAATCAAATCATACCACATTATGTAAAAAATTTAAATTGCTTTTTTAACTTACTCTTTTGTACTTATCGTGAGATGATGTGGTATGATTTAATTGGTTAAACACCAATTCAAACACTAAAATTTAGACAGCAAATTTAGATTTAAACTGCAGATATACAAGTTAGCGTAAACGCGAAGTCCTTGAAAATATGGGAACTATTCTTGTTTTGATATCCTCTAATCATATCCCAACAATTGTTACAATTGAAAATTTGAACCCACCGGTGCGGCACACACCGAATTCTGTAACTTTTTTTTTTTTTTATCCTCAGAATTATCCAGGAACTTTGATTTGATGTTAAGTGTTAACAAAAATAGTTGATGAAGAACACTGCCTTTTTACAACTAAAGATTTAAGTACATCCTCTGACTAGTTCACCGCAAACCGATGCAAATGTAAAGTAAGGCTCTACTTTGCCTTTGGTCCATTTTTTTTTTTATCTGCCACGGCTTGGTGAAGCACCTTTACTGACCGATTCTCTTCTGGCCGCGTTCCCTTGGATATGGATGGATTTTGGCCAGCTCACGAACACGGCGTATCAGAAACTTCGGCAACGGACGCAACGCATGAGATTGCTTGTCTTCGACCTGATTCAGCCAATGAGAAATCTCTTTTATATGAAATACGGCGGCCAAAAAAAGAAGTAAAAAGTAAAAAAAAAGTGGATAGATAAATAGATGACCTCTCTCTTCTTAATCTTTTGCAAAGAGCTGGCTCTCAAAAGATTTCGCCATTTATCCTGTAGAAGACGCAATAATCAGAGAATTTTAACTTGGAAAAGAAGATGCCGGAGTTGATGATCAGGAGAACGGTGTCATACCCTAAGATCAATGGGCGTGCGGTAAGCAGAAGAGGCAAAAAGGAGCCTTTTTATGTCAGTCCATCTTCCAACTCCATATTCAGAGATACCATCGACCAACTTCGTCACCTCTGAAATAGTCCACATTCTTTGATGCTTCCTACGGTCATGCTTGTCAGATCTTTTTCTAATCACACGGCCCTCATCAGAATCAGATGTAAGGAGTTCCTCGTTCAGCTTGGGTGGCTATGCAGAGGGGTAAAGATAATTGAAATCTTAAACTTAGGCATTTGTCAAGCAAAACAAACGCAATTTTTACTTTTTCAGGGAACTAGGAAGTGATCACAAGCAAAATAGAAAATAAAACTATAATTAATTTGATGAATAAGCAGATTAATAATCAATCAAGTCATAAAAACATGATAAGAGAACAAGCCTAGAAATTCAAGCGCAATTGTCTTTAGAAAAAAGAAAAAAAGAAAAAAGGGTATATAAAAAGATGTAGAAAATTGAAAGTTCCTCACCACAATTGGAGCCTGCTTCTTTGGACGTCCTCTCCCGCGACGAATCTCAGGGAGCACCTGAGTTTTATTTCCATTTGGCAATTCCTCCTCAGGAACTGATGACAATGTTCCAACCCCTATTGAACTAAGTTCAGCATGAGATCTGACCTTCAGTCGTCTATCCTTAATACCAGCAACATCAACAGAAGTAAACTTTCCTCCCTTCAAATGTTTCGACTTCTTATCTGAAAATTCTTCAATGTACCTCTGTGTAGGTCTCCGCAGTCTTTTCTCTCTACGAGAACCACCAACTTTAATTGCTTCACCAGACTTCTTCTCATGTTTATTTACCAACATGGAACTCAACAAAGGGTCGTCATCATCGTCCAGCTGATTAGGAGTTTGCAAGTCATGTGAAGCAGGGCACATGCTCCCTTTAACTTGTGTTTTACGCTTTTTCTTATGCCTAAAGGTACCACGTAACTCAGTTTCTGTCTTTTTAAGAGAATCATTCTTGCATTCTGATTCTTGAATTGTCACTGATGACGATTCTGATAAACCAACAGCACTATTACTGCTTCCACTTAATCCTGGAGACCGACTCTCAGCACTTGCATTTCTTGAATGTGATCCTCCTCGGGGACCATAATCCAATCCAAAAGCTTTTCCAGCAAAACCAAATTCTAATTGTATGACGAAGGATAAGTGAAAAGAACAAGAACAGGGGCAGCAATTAATTTTCTATTACTCTTTTGTCGACATGGTATATAGAATATCTATACTGGGAAAAAAATGAACAAAGAAAATGTAAATAAAACCAAGACAAGGAGCAGAAATAGTGCTCGACTACAATGAGTGTAAAGCACGGTATTACGAAAGAAATTCACAGTATCATCACTGAAATCAGAGAAGATGATTAAAAGGCTAACCCAGAAGAAAATCTTCACATGGGCTAGCAAGACCATCTGCTGCATGAAGATCTCCCACTTCTTCAACTTCATCCAGCAATCCATCAAGAACCTACTAAATCAACATCTAGTCAAAACACCACTCAAATAAATAATTTAGAACATCCTCATGTAAAGCTGCAATCCCATAGGAAGTGCTGGATCATCATTAGCAAACATAGTATCACACACTTCTCAGAAAGGAAAAAATTTGCAAGGAAAAATTGTAGAGAAATAATTTTAGTATGAGACAAATTATCCAAAAAAGATACATACTCCAAGTTCTAATTCATCTTCTCCTCCCTGAGCAGTATTAGAATCCAACCCACCTTTTGTGAAAAAAGCAAGTACAACAGGATTAGAATAAGCTTTTAAAATAATCATAAGATATTGATTACAAAGACAAATAGCAGCAGCCAATATGCTTTGCAACGTACAAATTACATTTTATGCAATGTACAATCACAACCTTAGTCTGGCCATCAAAGGTCAGCAAGCCTAAACCAATACATTAAAATTGTTCATAATTTAAAGTCAATACACTTGTTGATCTCCTTTATCCACGTAAGTACACACAAGAATCCTTAAGATGCAAGTCCACCAATAAGACCATCAGCTTTAAAAAAAAAATAAAAAAATAAAAAAATAAAAAAAAAACCATGTTGGTTTACCTCTGTATGTATTGAAAAAAAATTCATATCCACATGAAAAGTCTTCCAGTCCTGAGCATTTTACTCCATTCTCTTGACCAAGATGCAACATGCCATCTACTGAAACACTATCAATTTTAGGTTCTGCAAGCAAATGCTGAATTGCTTCATCCTCTATAGTAGGAGCAAAAGATTCCTCTGCCTTTACCTAATAAAACAGAGCAAACAAATGAAAAGGGCACAATATTATTGAAGGAACCAAGAGAAGAAAGATTTTATTTAAAACAAGAACAATTTTATCACAAACAAAACAAGAGGTAAGCACTAACAGTACGACAGGTTTCTAGTTTTTCTTGCACAAATAATTTCTGAAAGTAAGCCTACCGTTGGTAACTAAAATGTGCATTTTAATAGAAAAATAGTTCATTTATACTAAACATAAAACAAAGAAAATTATACAACCACCAACTACGAAATGAACACCCTATGAATTCTTTTCCTATCTTGACTTTAATATAAGAAAGGAGCTGCCAAGTGAAAATAATGACATATATCTCGAATGTCGCATTCACTCTGCGGCCATGCAAAAATTTGAAAAGTGTCGTGAGGATATCATCCATAAAGGATGGGACTCTGAGCTATTAAAATGGTTTCTTGATCAAATTCAACAATGAAATTAATAATTTATCGTTTGTTTTTTTTTTTTTTAGTTCTTTTTAGTGGTATGATTTTTTTGTTGTATCAGCAAAACTATCTAACAACAAAATGTTATACAAATCCAAATGCATAACATTCTTTAAATTTAAACATGTGGAAATTCATTCCAAATGCATAGCATACGTTCAAACATATCTTAAAACATATAAATAAAATCAGTTTCAAAGAAATCTCACCCGTTGATGTTTCATGTTAGCAAACTTCTTCCGCGAATGTGCTTCATTATCCATTTCATGTGGAGTCTTTAAGATTGATCCTAATTCCTACATATCCAATTATGCATCAGTTTTCCAAATATCGATGTGACAGCCAAACTAGAATCTAGTTTGAAGTACCATAGGATCTTATAAATTCTCTTTGGGGAAAAAATATGATAGCAATTGTAGTCATTTCTCTAAGATACATACATGGCATACGCAATGTATATACGGGAATAAAATAAATGTAGTTCTTTCCTCTTATTCGTAAGCATTAACTCAGAAAGAAATATTCCAATAAAAAACTATTATCCAAACTTTTTTTTTTCCTTTTTGCATTATAATTCCTGAAGTACTACCAGAAAGATCTTTGTTTTACATTAGTCAATTCAATCCAATTATCCAAAGTCCAAACAAGAACTAAAAAAACATTGTAATTAACGCCATAAGAACCAATTGTGGGCTCAAAGTTAGTAATGCATCCAAATAGGCATGTTAATGCGATAAAATTTGTGGGAAATGAGATAAACAAACACCCTAGACAAAGCTTAACAGGTGTAAAGAGAAAGAGTAATGCCGGAAAAGCGTAAAGAGAAAGAGTAATGCCGGAAAAGCGAGATGATTCACAAAATCTAAAGTAGACAAATTGCAAAGATTCACATGCAAAGACTTCGAAAAACAGGCAAAGCAAAAAGTTATCAAAAAAAAAAATGAAACAGCCAAACGAAAGCGGATGCTATTATCAAGTTCGGAATTCCATTATTCGGAGAAAAATATAAAATTTTCGGATCGAGAGAGAGAGAGAGAGAGAGATTCAAAAGTCTCCGTTTGGTTGCCGAGAAAATGAGTAAATACAAGAAGAAATTTCGGAAAATTTTTCATTTAAAAAAAAAAAGACGCATGCCAGCTGTGCTCAACTATGGAGCTCAGCTAAGAAACGAAAAAAAACGCACAATTTCCGGTCTATTCCTCTATTTTCTCGGGAAACAATCAGAAACTAAAATCAAAGTAAAACTTAGAAACAGAAAGAGAAAAATTACCTGAGTCTATCAGTAAGAAAAGCCCCAACGAGCTCCGAACTCTCCGATCTGCAAGCTCGGGAAAATTTCCACAGATTAACAAACTAAAAGAGGAAAATCAACATCAAAATCAAAATCAAGATCTAGCTGGAGCGAGACAGAGTGGAGATCTGACCTGAGAGAGGATAGAGAACGCGAGGAGAGAGAAACTCGGGCGAATGTCCGAAGGCGAAAAGCCTCGGAAGCGCCAAAAAGCGGAAGCGAATCAGAGGAGCACAGAAGAAAGGGGTAGGAAAAGGAAAAGAAAACATAAGTGCATGAACGAGGGCATTTATTTTATATTTTTTTAGATATATTTATATATTTTTTCGGTTTTATGGACATAAATATATATTTTAGTTTAATTATTAGGCGGAATCCAAATGGGTTTTGTTTATATATGTTTTTTTTTTTTTCATATTGCTGCTGCAGCTGCTTTGTAAAGTGTTTCGGTTACTGGTGTTTGTAAAAGTGCGTTTCAAATCCGGTGAGACCAGGGACACGTGGAGGACAATTAATAAAAGTGGTCGCTCTTCTTTTGTCGTTGTCCACTTTTGACTTTCCTTGACTTTGACGGCGTTAAATAAGCGCCCGTTAAATCAAGCCCAGATAAGGTTAACGTTACGTATGATTCGCAGCATGGACAACGTGTCTAATGCAATTGTCCCAACTTTTTTCGTGGCAGTAATTTTAGCCCACCGAAATAACTTTGCACTATTTTTCTACCCAAAAGTAATATTAATAACTTAGGACTATTTTATTGTAGATTACATCAAAATATCTTGTCTTTTTAGGATTTGTATATGGCAAAATTAAAGGAAGTTACTAGTTCAATAGAATTCAGTGAAAATAACTATATCTAAAAGAGCACTTTTTGCTGTAATCTACTCATAGATTTTTCTAATAAACTCGGGTAAATTAAGGACATTAAAAAGGTCTTTTTTGAACATGTGAATTCATTGATAGATTACACACAAACACAAAAAATGCCCAACCAATAATTTGCAGTTCTAGATTTAGCTATGGTATCATTAAACACCAATTTAACGTTCAAAATTGATTAAAACAACTTATTTTGACTCAATTTTTTTAATTGGGACCGCGGTCTTGTTTAATTGTTTGGATGATATGAAATTATTTGAAAAGAAAATGCTAATAGTAAGATCTTACTCACACTATTGTTTTCTTCGAACTGCTTACACTATTGCTTCATCTATCTCTACAGTAGTCATATTAAGCCACACAAAAAATAATAATAATAACAATAAAAAAAATTTAACACTTTCTTGATAGTAGGCTGTTGATCAATGAGAGCCCAACCCCATTTGTGAGATGTGTAAACTACGTAAGTAATCTTAGCAAATACCTCTTAAAAGTGCATCTCACGAATGTGTAAATTACATGAGTAATCTTAATAAATACTCCTTAAAAGTGCATCTCAGTCTCATCTCACAAATATGTAAACTACATAGGTAATCTTAGCAAATACCCCTTAAAAGTGCATTTCACGAATGTGTAAATTACATGAGTAATTTTGACAAATACTCTTTAAAAGTGCATCTCACAAATGTATAAACATGAATAATTTTGACAAATACTCCTTGAAAGTGCATCTATAAATGTGTAAACTACAAATACTCCTTTGAAAGTACATGACAGTATTTTTACCCTTTATTCTTGACTCATAACCTTTTTAGTTAAATAATTACACTAATAAAAAGATATTTATTAAGAGTAAAGAATAAAAGTCCATAAATTCTCTATTTTTTTAAATTATGGCCCGTTCATTTCACCGATTCGAGTTTAAAATTCAAGTTTTACTACAGTAAAAAACTCTCATAAATAGTCACATCTAACTTTTTTATTACAGTAAAAATTTTTTACATAAAATCACATCTCAACTCAAATCAGCAAACTAAACCTACTTTCACAAGAAAAAGCACGGGCTTGGCCCACACTGATAATCACCATGGAATCAAAGCATCTCTTATCAAATAGAGACCTTGCCTTCGGGTACAAGATTAAAGGCTAATGAATTGTACGCCTTTGACAACCAAAGATTCCAATACTCGGTAAATACGATCAAATCAATACATATATTAGCATGAACATTAGTTTAACATTAAATAAGTGATGATTAAAGTTTGGTGAACATCAGTAATGTCAAACTCTCTCTCACCCCATTGGTTGGATGAGTAAACGATTGAGATCTCTGGATGTGACGGGTAAAGATTTCAGGAAAATTATGACCACTTTCCTCTTATGCGTTCCAGTTGTACTGAAGGGCCTTGTTTCAAAGGGCAAATTTGTAAAGAAAACACTACTTCCCAACGCAACAAGTTGGTAAGACGCAAAGAAGAAAAAGTCATTTTTTCTTGACCAGTGAAAAGTAATGGCAACAAATAGAAATTTAAAAAAGGAATAGTAAAATTGATTTGTACAAAGACTTGAGTAAGCTTCTCTTTTTGTTTAGAACTCAACTCTCTCAACAAAGACTTGAGTAAGCTTCTCTTTTTGTTTAGAACTCAACTCTCTCAACAAAGACTTGAGTAAGCTTCTCTTTTTGTTTAGAACTCAACTCTCTCAACAAAGACTTGAGTAAGCTTCTCTTTTTGTTTAGAACTCAACTCTCTCAACCGTGCTAAAGGGTTGTTACATAGATGCTTTGAAAATTTGAGATCAAACCTTTTGGGTCACTTCTGTTTCTTAAAAAGAGCAGTATTTCTGAACCAAAAGGTAACAAAGATGAACCAAGAGGTAGTTTACACAAGTCCCTGTGGTTGTTCTTGGTTTGTTGTGTCTCCCGTTGAGTCATCATTGGCCGTTAAACCTCGGATCTTAACATCATAGTAAACTTCTTCAACTCTTCTTAAGTCATACTTCATACCTGCCAAAGATGAACAGACGATTGACGTAAGAGGAATATTGTATCACAAAAGAAAGCTTTATCATAAATCACGTTTGGATTCTTTGAAAACGAGGGTTACAGCATATGGGGTACCATCGAATTTCTTGCGCAGGAAATCATTGCGAAGATTAAGCATCCGGAAAGCTGCATGGAGTTCTGTCATGAACTTCAAAACCTTTCTTGGGCAATCATAGTCCCCTGCTGTCACTTGGTTTACCACAAACCTAGGCTGCAAAGATATGATTTACTTCACAATAAGCCCCCTAGGTCGGTATTTTAACACAGGCTCTACATATACGGTTTCATAGTTTCCTTTTCATTTTGTTCCCATAGTTTAAGATAGAAACCAAAGTCGTTGCTTTCAAATGCTGCATACGAACAATAGAAACATGCTGTGATCTAAGTTGCAGAATCTACTTACCAATTCACTTGACATAAAACAAATACCTGAAATGTGAAAGAAGTTTCCACATTAGTTTATTATCTAGCTGCAAAAAAGAGGAACTTGCAATAACAAGAAGCATACTCACTAAGAATTTACACTAAGTAGTCAGGCAGTGGACTCCAAGGAGAGAACATCATCAGACAGGCAAACCATAGTAGCTTAGCAACCACTAGAATGCATGCCTTAAATGTTGGATACAGTTATTTTTTCCACACCACATATAGATACATACATATATATATATATATAGAACAAAAGGATTGATTTATATAATTAGCACCTACATTAGATGCTAATTATATCATTATAGCACTGCTTGTGTATTAAGTTGGCGTATGTTCGCAGCGTATAGGAAAGCTAGTAAATTTCTGTTCAAGAGTGGATCTTCAGTGCTTTTACAATCATGATTAACTTCGAACACAACATACCAAGTATCTATTGGTACTAAAGCAATCAAATTGTTACACTATACAGTTGAGATTATCAAGAAAAACAAAAAAACTCACCAATAAGGTAGTCTTCAACATCCAAACCAAAGTCCAAATTGTTCACTGCATAATTCAAAGCTAAGAAAGATTACAAAGTAAAAACATCAACCAAGTTAATTCATTTCATACTAATCTACGGAAAATTTCAAGATTATATAGAATTATAGATTGTCAATGGAGTGAAAAGTCCAACATATCTGTAAAGAATCAACATACATCCAAGCTTTTCCTGGGCTTCAGTGTGCAACAGAAGATTTCCAGTTTCTAACCAGTGCATAAAAGCAAGCAACGAAACCACTGTCTGAGTCTCGCCTCTCCAATCACCATGATACCTAGGTTAAGCAACACGAAAACCTGATTGGAACCAGAGAAAATGAGAAGGAAAATTCACGAAAAAAGCGGCGATATCAAATCCTCTCACCTGTAATACTGCGCGGGACATTCGCGGAGAATTTCAGCGAGCCGATTGTAGAGCTCCTTCAACACTCCGATCTGAGCCTTCGGCCTCTCCAGAACCTCTGTTCCATAGATTCTTAAACTCTAATTTAACGAGAAAACAAAAGCAAACAGAGGCAAAAGACGCGATTTTCCATACCAGGAGACGGCCGAGCTTGGTGAACGAGGAGGAGGCCGGCGTGCATGAGCCTGGTGGTGGACTCGATCTCCATCACGACGGCTCGGATGCGCTCGCGCAGGACGCCGGACTCGTCCAGCTGGACGCAAAAGCCCTCGAACTGCTTCTCCAGCGGAGGGGACGACAGCGGCGCGTGGGATTCACTTTCACCTACCGCCATGGACGCGGAGCACGGAGTCTCCATTACGAGACGGCGGAGAGAGGGAGGTGCGACGGAATCGGAAACCCTACGGAGAAGGAATGGAAGTAACGGGAGGTTTGGGTTAGGGTTTAAGGAGCGAGAGGAGAGGGAAAAGTAAGCGTTTCGAAACGCTAATTTCATAGTTGTTTTTTCTTTCGGGTATATTATCAGTAAAAAACGGACTATGTTTGTCGGCTGGGCTGAGCTCCAATGTATTTTTTTAGGGATAAAATTAAATTGGTACTCTGTTATAGTAAAATATTGAATTGAAATATTATATTTTTAATAATGTTAAAATAATATACTTAAGTTTTAGAAAATATTTTTAAGCGATCGAAAGGCTTTTTTTAGGCGTAAAATGATAATTTTACCCTTATTAATATTCTCTCATTTTTCTAACCGAAATTCAATTTTATTTTTCATTAATTAGTTAAAAATTGTCCTTATCATTAATTAGACTAAAATAATTTAAAGCATTAAAAAAAACTCATATCCCCATACGCCAAAAACTGAATCTAAGGATCAAAGAAACTCATTTATCTTCTTCCTCCCTCTTCTGAAAAAATCCCAAAAAATTAAACACAAAAAACTTAAAAGATCAGATCTGAGAAAAGAACGGTTGTGTTTGGAGTTATTTTTGTTTTTATTTTTCATATTTTTTGAGAAAAAAAAATGAAAACGCGAGAGAAACAGCGTTTGACACAATTAAAGATAAAAAATAGAAATGAAAACAATTTTTTAGTTTAGTGTAAAACGAGAGAGAAATGAAAAACGACTTTTAGTCATTTTTTTTATTTTTTGTTTATGTTTTCTCCTCTCTCGAGTAGAGAGAGAGACATTAATATATTTTTTTATACTGAAAATAATCTTTTGATAAAACTACCAAACACATTTTTAAAAATAATTTCTATTTGAGATTGAAAACGTTTTTATTTTCATTTTCATACAAAAAATAAAATTATTTTAAAATGAGTTCCAAGCGCACCTAACATATTCCCTAGTTTCATTTTTTAATTTGTTAGTTAGTCAAATATCAATTAACACAAATAAACCCAATGAATGCAAATATATAGATTACCGACCCTTAAAATAAACTAAAACACATAGGGCTCCGTTATTTTATGCGTTTAAACTTATAGTTTTGATTTTGCTACAGTATTTTCTTCTAAAAGTAATTTAAATTTCAAATTAAGAATCACTTGTAAATAGAAAGACGTTACAGAGTTTGTCTTGAGAGCGGAGAGAGAAAGAAGAAAGAGATATTTTTTTATTTTTTATTTTAATACATTTAAACCATTTCTTAAATATGTTTTAAAAATTTTAAATTTTAAATAATTAATTAATGAAATTGAATTTCAAGTAAGGAAAATTTCAGGTAAGGAAACTGAGATGATATTAATAAGGGTAAAATTGTCATTTTATGTATTGAAAAAGAGGTTCAGAGTACCAAAACAATGTTTTTTAAAATTTGACGGTATCATTTTAATATTATAAAAAACACATAATATTAACTCAATATTTTCTTATAATACAGGATACTAAATTGATTTTATTATTTCCTTTTATTTTACACATATTTATGTTAGAATAAAAAATATTATTATTTATTTAATAATTGACTTTTCGAACGGATAATAAAATTTCTATGATTAATATTTGTATGATTGTATAAAAAGGTGTGTGATAAGTGAGTTCTTTTATCTAAAAATAATTTTTCTATTTACAAATTTCTTTTGGTAGAATAGTTGCATGAATAATTCAAACATTTGAACGAAGAATGTAATGGGCTCTTGTAATTTCTCTATTTTGTGATTTCAGCAAAAATTTCTTTATTTTGGGGAGTTAAAAGATAAAATTCTTTTGCCTATTTGTATATTCCGAAATGGAAATTTTTTTGCAATTTGTCCTCTTTTACTTGACCATATCCTATTCAATAAGATCGACAACTTTCCAAAACCAAAATGGACCAACTTTCTATTTGTCTCATTTTTCATTCTACATTCTTTTTCTTTCACGAAGGAACATTTTTAATGTTATATTTCAAGGATCACCAAAAAAAAAAAAAAAAAAAAAACACCTATCCTCTAGGTTGCAATTTATGGGTGCGCCGAAAACTTTTGTTACGCTTGTTCTTCTAAATCTAACTCGCATGGTTTTCTCTAGTACACCAAGAACGTAACACAAAAATGGTGACGATTAACGTTGTGACATGTTTTCATCGTAAAAAAAAAAAATGAAACGGAGAAAGGAATGACAGTTTGAGAAACAAAAACAAAAACAAATAATAGATGAAGTTTGTGACTGTTGACTTGGATGACTTTGTCTTATTCATGTGAAGACTTTTCTCCTAGTTTTCAAAAGCTCTATTCACACCCAGAAACGTATGTGGATTTTTGCATATTTATATTTAAGTTTTTTATTAAATTCAGCTCAAAATAAAAGGTTCTAATTCCAATCTTTTCTTTCTTTTTTTTTTCTTGGTATGCAAGGCTGACTCTATCTTGCCGTGTGAGGTCATCTCTTATTACCATGGACTGGACTTTCCATTTCTTTTCTCAAACCTTTTGAGGTCTTTTTTTTTTTTTTTTGGGTTTCTCTCTTCTTGGTCTTCTTTCTCATATCTTGGACTCTATCAAAGTTCAGAACGTAAAAGTTTGTGCAATCAAACTAGATCACCAAAGGTATGTTTTTTTACCAATTGTTATTTTGTAGTTTTGGTTGTGATTTGAAGGAATGTTTAGTGGAAAAATGTGAAATTTTATTGTGTTCCTCAAAAGTTTTTTGTTTTCTTCTTTTGTGAGAGATAAGCCTGGAATTTTATGTTGTGAAGGAATTAAAGTAATGGGTTTTCATCAAATGTATGCAAATCAAAATGGTCTGTTTAGATATGGATGTTTTCAAGTAATTCTTATTCCAAACTGTGGGTTTGAAGTAATTAACTTTAATGGGAGAGATTTAAGATAGAAAGTGGTTTTTGATGTTCAGAAGTGAATTTGTTCAGATGCTCTAATTTTATTTACTATTTGCTTATGGGTTTTGAGAGTTTTGATAGGTCAAGCGATTTTTGAAACTTTCTTTTTTGCTTTTTGCATCTGCAGAGAGGGTTAAAAAGTGTTCTTATTTTTGTTGTGGAGCTATGAAGTGCTTCCCTTTCTCACTTGGAGACAAGAAAGATGAAGCCAAGAACACTAAATCGGCCTCACTTCGGTCCATCAATTCAACGTTCACCGATGGCGAAACGAAGAGGTCAGGCTCTGATTTGAACTCCCAGATTGTCTCGGATGCCAGCACCGAGTCCTTGAGGCGAATGTCGTTTCCCAGCTACCCTCAAAGGCCCAGCAACCTCAGAGTGTTCACGGTTTCTGAGCTGAAGTCGGCTACAAAGAACTTCAGCCGCTCTGTCATGGTCGGTGAGGGCGGATTTGGGTGTGTCTACAAGGGGTTGATCAAGAGTACAGAAGATCCATCCAAAAAGCTTGAAGTTGCAGTGAAACAACTCAGCAAAAGAGGATTGCAGGTATAATTTCTTAACCTTTGTTTTTTAACAAAACTTATAGAAATGTTATGTGGGCATAGAGAACAATTAGTTAAGCAATCTTTTGCATTGAATTTATTGCTTAAAAGTAGCTGATATGAATGGTGAAAATTTTATCTGTGGCCTGCTAGTGTGAGTCACTTCAAAGACTGTGATGTTTTGACATTTCACTTCACATAGAGTAGGTAGTAGGTAGCACATAGTTGAAAGAGCAGCGCTATTCGGCTCTAACAGCACCACTGGATCGTTAAGAATTAGCCGTCTTATTTCTTTACTACCGAGAGCAATAACATCGCAGACACAAAGCAAACAAACAAGAACACACACAATAATTTATAGATTTCACCGGCAATATGAGAGCTACATCCATTTTCAACCGTTGCAATATGACTATATTAGAGCTATATCCACTTCCAGCCGTTGCAGTTTTTCACTGTAGTCTTGCAATCTTCCGAATCTAATTCTGTGAACCTTCGTGTAACCGTTTAGGCTCATTCATGGATTGTTAGCCCGTATAATAATGCTGATATTTCCAAAAAGATTTGAACTTCTCATCAATTATGTTTGAAGTTAGGATCATGAATTTTCTGTGGCAGGGACACAGGGAATGGGTAACGGAAGTGAATCTACTCGGGGTGGTGGAGCATCCGAATCTTGTCAAATTAGTAGGCTACTGTGCCGAGGATGACGAAAGAGGAATCCAACGCCTTCTGATATACGAATTCATGCCCAATGGAAGCGTTGAAGATCAATTGTCTCCGCGTTCAGAGAGACCTCTTTCGTGGGCCATGAGATTGAAAATAGCTCAGCATGCTGCTCGCGGCTTAGCACATCTACATGAAGAAATGGATATTCAGGTAGAAAGTTTCGTCTTTTTTTTTTTTTTTTTTTTGGCCCCTTTTCTTGCAATGCATTTTGATTGAGTATCCACATGATCATCACACTAACATTTCTAACAATGCTCATGTAGATCATTTTCCGGGACTTCAAAGCTTCGAACATTCTTCTGGATGAGGAATGGAATGCAAAGCTATCGGACTTCGGAATGGCTAGGCTGGGCCCAGCAGAAGGGTTAACTCATGTCTCTACTGCGGTATGCTAAAACCTTCTGACTTTATGGGGAAATTATTGGGTTTTTGAGTTAAGGCAGTTTAGCTGAATCAGTTTTGCTCCTAATCCTTCTCTGAACATTTTGCACATCAGGAATATTTGAAACTACTTTCTCAATCATTGAACCAAATTATTTGTGACACATTTTTAGGATGCCAAAACAATTTCACAACTTTGTTCTTCAAGTAATGCGAGAAGCCGAACAAGATACATAGAAAGGCTTCTCTGTGATTGTCTAAAGACCACTCTTTTTAGCAACTTTTTCTTATAGAAAAGCAATGTAGTATTTTAGAACTTGATATTAGCACGCTTTACAGAACTTACATGACTGATCATGTTTATAAGGTTGTCGGAACTATGGGATATGCGGCACCCGAGTATGTCCAAACTGGACGTCTAACATACAAGAGCGACGTATGGAGCTACGGTGTTTTTCTTTATGAACTGATCACAGGTAGGCGGCCATTGGATCGAAATCGTCCTAAGGGTGAGCAGAAGCTCTTGGAATGGGTGAAGCCTCATCTATCTGACGTGAAAAAGTTCCGCTTAATAGTAGACCCCAGACTAGAAGGGAAATACTCCCTCAAGTCGGTACAAAAGCTCGCACTTGTAGCCAACCGGTGCTTGATCAGATTCACAAAGAACCGGCCAAAGATGAGCGAGGTGTTGGAAATGGTGAACAAGATTGCCGAGGATACAACTGAGACAGGGAGTCCCCCGCTTCCCTTGAAGAATCTGGCATCAATGGATTCTTCCCGGGACAGTGAAGCGAAGAACAAAAGAAGAATTATGGATACCAAGAGCGGGGAAAATGCCTGGTCTTTTCGGATGTGGAGGCCAAAGCTTTTGAGGACATGTTGATTGTAGAATCTTAAAGCAAACTGGGGTCTTGTAGCTGAGGCTTTGGATTGCAATTAGGCAGGAAAAATACATGATTTCCTATTAAGTTCCAAAGGAAAAATCGCGAGAAACTTGTAAAGCTGCGCGGTAAGAGAGAAGAGTTTTGGAATCGGCTAGGTGACCATTTTGCACAGATGATGATGTTCTAAGAAATAACTTTTCATTAGATGTTAATTGTGATCCTTAAGCTTATATGTCATACTGAGATTTTAATACCACCAAGTCTTATGTATAGTGCCTTTCAATTATGTTTTTTGATGTTCAGTTGTAAAACAGCCAAAGTTGAGAACATGAGAGATATTGAGGGTAAATCGTTCACAAAGAATCGGCCAATAATATTTTTAGACGTTTTCACTTGTTTCTCTTTTGATTTTTGGCTTAAATATAGGAACATGTCTGCTAGATATTTGGCAATATAATGGCTTATCTATTACTAAAGAATACTTATTTTTTGTAAAATACCCACTAAAGTATACTTGACCAATAAGAGTGTTCATTGGTTTATTTATTCAGTTCAACCTTTTTAGGCGAACTGTAATTGTAGCTTAGTTTTTTCAAAAATAAAAATTATAGCTTAGTTGATTGTGCCTGAAAAATCCAAACATTTGGTTCATTTCAATCACAATCCACTTATATCTTTTTTTTTTTTTTTTTTGAAATGGATAATATATGTGGGAATTGAGAGAATTGTTGTTAACATCATTTCCAAGTCACAAATCTGTTGTCGACAATATAAACAAGTTGGATAATTACCTGAAGATAAAGGTAATGATAAAAACCAATATAGATTATAAACGACAGTGAATCAGGGAGAACGACAACAACGTAAAGAACATTAACTTTATAAACGACAAGGTGTTGTAGTTCAAAACGGACGACGTCGTCACTTCAATAGAAAATGATAACATCCTTCACAGACGACGCGAATTTTAAAACGACAAGTTTTTTTATAAACGACAAAAATATATAGACAATGATAGCAACTTTATTTTGGAAAACGACAATGAATGTCATTCGAAAAAAATTTCGGTAGCAGAAACAATTTAAATTAGACAACGTCTCTTCTCTTAATAAGTTATAAACTAGCCTATCATGGAAACGACAAGATACGTTAATAGCGATGCATTAGGAAATGACAATATAGATCATGAACGACAACAGTAAATGCAACAAAATAACATGCCAACTGACATCTTATACAAACAACGACAGCGTTTCTTATCATTGCAAGATTTAAAAGACAACCAACTTTTTCTTTTAACAACTGATAGTAAAAAACGACAATTATATTAAAACAAAAGACCTCTGAAAAACGACAATAACCCCATAACCGCTAAGAGCTAGTAAAAAACCTACAAAAAAGATGAACGAAAACAAGCATAAAACTACAGAATTTTGAAACACTGTAAATGTATTCACAAATTATAGCACCTTAAGTACACGACAATGTAGTTTACAAACAACCTCCTTTCACAATTCTAAAACGGCAACGTGGTCAAATAGAACAAAAATTTAATAGCAACAACATTATTTCGGGGGGTAGTATATTGTAAACTACAACAGCTTTTTAAAAGAAAATATTTTTGCATAGAACAAAATATTCCAAACGACGCATTTTAGAAACTACAATATCTCTCATACAAACGATACGACAGTCTTAAGCACGTAGAAAACGACCGCATCAAGGCATACGACAATAAACGTAAATATCTTGAAAACGACAAGATTCTGGAAATGCAGCAATAGCTATAGAGAAGACAGCACCTTACCCAAAGGACAATTTTTTAACAAATCACGTAGGACTCTGATTTGGAAGACAACAATGTTTCTCGCTAAAGTTTAGATTCTAGAAGGACAACTTCGCTTATAAAAAGGAGAAAAATCTATGCCAACGGACGTTATTATAAACGACAGTAAGCAGTAAACGACAACTATTTCGAAAAGAAAAGTTTGAAAACAAAGAAACCAATGATGCTTAAACGTCAATAACGATGGCTTTGCAACACTTACACAGGACATAGGAAAATAAATTAAAAGCTACGATATTGCATAAAACCAAAGTGTTTCAGAAAATAAGATCCACAATTTTTTTAACCAACGACAAAAAATGTTAAAACGGGAAAATCTAGTAGAAACGACAATAACTTGAAGACACGACATCATTTGAAACCTTACCTTGTTTAACACAAACTGAACTTTAAAATTGACAAGGCTACACAAAATCACTTGAAAAGAACCAAAGTTACAGAAATATATGCATATTGTAAGAGAAGCAACATACTAAAAACTTTGGGGAAAAAAATAAAAATAAAAATAAAAATAAAAATCCTGAATAACACTGTAATGAAAAATAAAAAACTATTCCACTTTTTTGGTACTTGGTTCTGAAATTTAAGAAACAAAAGAAAAATATATCTACATGCCAAAGAGTCCTCTAAGATATTTTCTGATCGAGTTTGAGTAAAGACGACAAAGTTTTGCTGCATCCCCTTGTTGATTAACACTTGGACGTTTGTCATTCACAAATCACAAGTTGCGTATGCAGTTTTTGATATCAAACAAAGAAAACTTTGCTTGTGCAAGTTGGCCTACACATTTGGCTGTCTCGCATTCAAGTACATAAAAGATCAAGCCGATATTTGCCGATATTTAATTTATGGGTTTAAAATACTGTAACGAATCAATAATTATTATCTTAAACCATACTAAAACTCTCGAAACAAACAGAGCACAAAATCCCCAGTTACTTGTGCATTTAGACGACCAGGATCTGTGGTGAAAAATTTCTCAAAACTTTGTACAACAGAAAAAAATAATAATAATAAAAGACATTAATTTGTAGTATCCGATACCACAACACATAAAAAGTGAGCGTCACATACACATAAAATTTACGTGGAATTCATGCCGTATGGGTTTGATATTAAGTACTATTGATGTCTAATAGCTAGCATTTTTTCCTAAAATGCCACGAAAAATGTATGTATGAGCTTTTCACAACACATAAGGTGTGTGTAGAGAAAAATATGATGCCCACATCAAGCGATACCATAACTTATATAAGACGGGCCTCACTCCTACATGCATATATAAAACCCATATGAAATTCCTCCTTTATCAGTTCAACAATTTTCTCACATAGAATTCCTTCCATATAAGGTTTTGGTATTGAACACTGTTGATGTTCAATAACAGTGGTGTTAAAGCGACCCTGTTTTTTTTGCTGATTCGAGTTTTGTTACAGTAAAAAGCTCTCAGAAACAGTCACATCTAACTTTTTTACTACAGTAAAAAGTTCTCACACAACATCACATCTCAACTCAAATTAAAAATTCGAATTAGCAAACGGAATGAGCCTATCTTTCCCAAACGTCAAGAAAAGTTATGTACAAGCTTTACACGTCTTGTATTTCACGAGTATTTTCTGGCGCTCATTCACTTTGCACCACTACAAAAACCCTGGAAAGTTAACGAACTAAAAAGGAGACATAAACTAAGAGAGATCCTAGTTAACAAGAAAAGTTCATCCCGAAAGTTGGTCCTCAAAGAGAAAAAGGATTCGCCTGCCTTTGAAAGCACTTTTTTTGTGGCCTTTTACGTGCATAGATGGAGACTTTCTCTTATAATCCGTACAAAAATAAATTATTGATATATTTTAATTTTTAATTTTATATTAAAATTTATTTATTATGTATATTTTTTTAATCTAATGTGATTTTAAAATTAAATTTAACAGTTAAAAAATTGAGACTATCAAAAAAAAAAATCTCTGGTATAAAAATGCTTGAAAAAAAAAAAAGAGATCTTTTAGCGGCGATGCTTATTTTGAGCGGAGCAAACTAGCTTTTGGTCAACAGGCATGGAAAAGCAACCACGTTAAGGCAACCCATGATGTGTTGTGTCGCTTGACTTCATTGCTCAATTCACATGGAAGCCCATGCCTACACCTTTTTATGGCCAAAATTAGTGCATATGATTAACTCCAAAAAGCTTATTAACGCAATGAATAGGGGACCTATTCACAAAGATAAAAGAAAAAAAAAACAAAAACAAAAACAAAAAAAGAGGATAATAGGCCACTATTATAGAAAGAAAAATTATGCGCAACTTGCTCCGCAAGATATAGAGGGCAAGTACCGTATTGGTCGATCTGTGGGGTCCTCTTTTAAGCCATGGGACCAACTCTCAGGGGAAAACAGAATCCTCAACGAAATAGAGGTCTTGTTCATTTCACTAATTTAAGTTTTCAGTTTTAAATTTTTACAGTTAAAAATTATCAGAAAATGTTACATTTAACTTTATTTGTTACAGTTAAAAGCTCTAAAAAAATATCACATTTTAACTCGAATTGAAAACTCAAATTCGCGAAGTAAATGAGGCCAGAATTACTCTTAATAACAAGGCAATTGTTAATTATTAGTTTAGTATGTGGGTCTATAATGCCTGATCAAACCTTTACTCTCTTAAATTCTAAGCCCTGTCTCACCCAATATAATTTACATAAATTAGGTTATTTCTACAATACTTCTCTTTTTCGTTATTATTTTTCTTTATATGTCGTAAAATGGAGACAAATACATATGGAAGTATTATTATGGAAGGACAAAACCTTTTTTGTGCTATTTATAATGTGTCATCTGATAATTATATCAAAAAGTAGATTGCTATTTTATTGTGTATTATCTTAGAAAAGATAGTTCTATAAAAAAGAATAGACATGTAATACATGATTGTTCATTCTCTTCACCTATCATTCTGTGGCAGGACTTCATATCGATAGTATATGTTTTTTATCGTTAAATCTGGTTAACATTACAGCAAACTGAAAATATACGTAAAACAAAAGAATTTTATCACATATTCTGATAGTTAAAAATAGAACCCAATAAAATTGTTGAGCGTTGTGTGGAGCCTAATCAAGAAAAAGAAGAAAAAAGGAAGGTGTTTGGGCGCCGCGACCCTAGTTAGTGGACGTGGCGGTATAGAGGGATGCAAAACGGAGCATCATGACAGAGAGCACAAAGCTACAACGCTAAGGCAGGGCTGCATGGGTGCCTTGGTGCTTCAGAAATTCACGATGGGTGCTGCAGCACCAGGAAAGGGCGTCACTGTGTTATGTCGACATCTCAATGAGCATTTACCCTTAGCACCGCGACACTAGAAAATTAGGGTCGCGACGCTAGTTCTGGTTTTTCTTATTATTTTTGGACATGTTTTCATTTCTTTTTGTACACTATCAATACCTATTGTTAGGGTTTTTTAGTTAGGGCGATTTTCCAAGAGAAAATAGAGTGTTGAGAGGCTTGTAACACCATTGAGAGTGAGAAAAACACAAAGTGAGATTGAGTGATGCTTTTGT